TACGGGTAAAACGATGTTTGTAAATTATCGGGTTCTCGTTCCACTTGAATACTATGCACTTCCCGCCTACTTATCTTTTATTTTGATTTTGACCTAAATCACGCATATAACATCACTGTAAACCCCATTAACTGCTCAACTACCCAGCCAAAGTTACATCGACAATGACACCACCGCAACTTGCTTTGACGCCAGAACCAGAAGCTAGCCTCGTGCTGGAGGTATCCACATAGAACTGTACATCTCTAAACACTCTCCTTTCGCCTCCATTAACTCTCTATGTTATTGTGTATTTGCGTTATGCAGGTATGTCCACCCAAACATATCCACATACCGGCTCCATTGCTCGCTAAGATTGTTGCTATCGTCTCTGAAGACGGAGCCGACTCACTGAAGAATTGGATGAAAGCTGGTCCTGAAGGTAAGGAAGCAGTTTTGTCTCCGGAGACCCTATTTGCTGTCCGGCTTGACAAATCTGGTGATTTGCTATGGTGGAGCATGCCTCATTCCAAATATTACAAGTTGTTCTGTAAATGTCTAGCAGCAAGAAACCCTTACGCTATCTGGGCCGAGCAAAACAAATCCTTTGCTTTTGAAACCCTAATCGACCAATACTACAGGATAGGTCTTTGGAGATCACACAACCCACTTTCAGCACAACTTGTTCCCATAAGCCTTCCGAATGTTTTGCTCGCTCCATCAACACTTCGTAGAGTCGGGAGACCTCGTTGTCGCCGTTGCCGTAGGCCAGCCCACAATCCAGCAGCATGCGCACCACCCAGCCATGGTTGACCCCCATCCCCGAGTTAGACGGACACCCACCCACCTTTATCTTATGTATATTGAATTATTATTCACGGATTTGGTACTTTTAACCATGGATGCTGTTATAACTACTATGTGGTCATGAACGTGTGGACTTGTGCTTTTGTGCCGTTATCTAAATCTACACTATTCCATACGTTCATGTCCACTGTTTTTTTTGCTACTTAACAGTATGTGTTTCTTTTATAATTGCTGTCTTTTGTAATTCACCATTAATTGCTGTCTTTTATAACAGTATGTGTCCACCATTAATTGATGTCTTTTATAATTCACTTCTATAAATGAATGTTCTTCATGTCCACAATATATATAAGAAACGAGCTCGTTGGCCTGCGTTATATATATATTGTTAGATGTAGTTTGAATCCAATAAGACGAGACCACATGTCCATCCCACATGTTTGTTAGATGTAGTTTGGACCAACCATCATCACAAATCCAATAACAGAAGACCACATGTTCATGGACACACCCCTTAGGTTTCATAAGTTATATGATCTAGTGATTATCTAACTAACAAGAATATGTGCAATCTAACTAACATGAACACAATATTCATCACGAAAACATTACACTAGCAAGAACCTCATGGATTGATTTAAAAAGGAAAGAAAAGCAAGATACAGAAAGTTTCGACTTCGATTGATCATCACGAAATAGGCATCATCACGAAATAAGCATAATATCTCGCGACAGATAGTAGAAGATGCAGTCAATACACCTCTCCCCGTTGTCCTCGCCAAGCAATGAATGATCCTCCCAACATTCTGGGAAGTCGTCAATGACCCAACTGTCCGAGTACGTCCCCCGCCTTTTTGGACCAACCATGTATATGTGAAACATCAAAGTGTCTG